AGGTCGACGCTCAACCACTGAGCCGCGCCAAAGCCAAGGGCTTTAGATCCCCAGCACCCTGGCACCCTGTACTTAAAAAGAACCAAAGCCGTCATACTTGGTGAATCCTCACGACTCTTCCCGAGCAGCGCTCATGCTCTCCCCGCCGGAGGCCTCTAGGTGTTCCTGACACAGAACTTCATTCCTGGGAAGGCGTAAGGGGACTCATGGGCTCGGGCTGATTGCACAGATCACAATGGCCATGCGTCCTGAGTGTGGTGATGTTAAAGTGGGCTTGAAATAAAACTTTAGCCCGGCCGGCGTGGCTCAGGGGTTGGGCATCGACCTAGGAACCAGGAGGTCCCAGGTTCGATTCCCGGTCAGGGCACAGGCCCGGGTTGTGGGCTCGATCCCCAGTGGGGGGCGTGCAGGAGGCAGCCGGTCCGTGATTCTCTCTCATCACTCATGTTTCTCTCTCTCTCTCTCTCCCTCTTGCTTCCTCTCTGAAATCAATAAAAATATATATTTTTTTAAAAAGAATAGAAAAAAGTTGCCAGCAGGAGGCCATCCGTCTCTTAGGCCCCACCCGGTCTCTTTGGCGCCGTATCATTAATACAGCGGGGCCTTGACTTACAAGTTTAATTCGTTCCGAGACCGAGCTCGTTAAGGAGCTCGTTAACTCAAATTACTCTGTCAACTCAATGCAAAAAATCGGCCGAGAGACAGCTGGTGTCTCAAAAAACTCGTTAGTCGGGACACTCGTAAGTCAAGGCCCCAATGTGGATGATATGTAAATGAGGCTCCTTAAAGGGAAACACTGGGGAGAGCCCAGAAGACACGTGGCCCGTTTGCAAAATGCTGGTTTTTGGTGAAGAAGCTTTTGAAGGGTGAAGGCCCGGTGGGCCGGGGCCTGTGTGTGCCGAGTGGAAGGGTCAGCGTCGGCTCCGTGTCGTGACTGATGTGCAGCCTGTGAGGGGGAGCGCACACGCTTGTGTCTCTCCTTGTACGTGTGTGGGGAGGACGTGGCTCAGGTATCTTCAATCCGACAAAAGTCACTGGTGTTGGTATAAAAACTCCTTGGTGTTTAGTAAGTTGCTTTCATTCCGTATTTTCGTTTCGCTTATATAACTAAGCCTTATGCCTTTTTTTTTTGTTAAAGGTCTTATGGAGAAAACCAATTTTAATAAGCTTTGAATTCATGGCATTGGGATGCTACCGTCCATTTTTTATTTAAAAAGAGAGAAAAATGGAGATTATTAAAGTTGCAAAACCCATAGGACAAAAACCAGAAGAAAAAATGTCAGTTCTGCCCAGACCTGTGTGGCTCAGTGGATAGAGCGACGGCCTGTGGACTGAAGGGTCCCAGGTTCAATTCCAGTCAAGGGCATGTACCTTGGTTGCGGGCACATCCCCAGGAAGGGGCGTGCAGGAGGCAGCTGATCGATGTTTCTCTCTCATCAATGTTTCTGGATTTCTATCCCTCTCCTTTCCTCTCTGTAAAAAAAATCAATAATATAAAAAAATAATTTTCTTTTAAACGTCAGTTCTTTCTTAAAATAGAAGTAGAAAGAAACTCCATCGGTTGATATCACCTCATACAACTTGCATTTCACATCTTATGCCTTTTTTTTAATAAACATTTTTAAAAATTGCACCCTCTTTAGTCCTTGAAATAAATCAGCGCCACAGTAATTTTAGATTTTTTTCCCCCCCCAAACCATCACTTCTATCTCAGAAATTCTGAAACTATCCCTTGTGGCAACATGTCCTTCACCTGCACCCCCAATTCCAGTGGAAAATGCTTCAGCAAATGTACTTACTATGAAGGAAGTTTTCCTCCTTAATTGCGATCATCGTTACTAAGACATTTGGCCTGAAAGTAAACAGATAAGAAATGATGTGGCCATTATGTGTAATGTGTAAATGGTGTGTGCCGATAGGGGAGGGAAATATGTCAGAATGAAAGTAGCCACAATTTGAATGGCGGGATTATGGGCGTACTGTTCTTTTTTCAAAATTGTAAAGTGCCGATATTACATTATTTTTTTTTAAAAAAGCTTATTTTAAACTGTATTTTATATAAATACTAGGTTGTACACTTAAGAATTATCTAGTAGTTTATCGAGAAATCCTCAAAGTGATTTTATTTATTTATTTTTTTAAAAAAATATATTT